TTTTTATATGTTTAATACAGACAGGGTTTCACTATGTTGGCCAGGCTGGTCTTGAACTCCTGACTCCAGGTGATCCACCCGCCTTGGCCTCCCAAAGTGCTGGGATTACAGGCATGAGCCACTGCATCCAGCCTCTCCCCTGTTGCTTATTTATTTATTTGAGCAGTGGCGTGATCTCGGCTCACTGCAACCTCTGCCTCCCGGGTTCAAGCGATTCTCCTGCCTCAGCCTCCCGAGTTGCTAGGACTACAGGTGCTTGCCACCATGCCTGGCCAATATTTGTATTTTTAGTAGAGATGGGGTTTCACCATATTGGCCAGGCTGGTCTCAAACTCCTGACCTTGTGATTTGCCCACCTCAGCCTTCCAAAGTGTTGGGATTGCAGGTGTGAGTCACTACACCCAGCCTCCTGTTGCTTTAAGGTAAGTCCTTGCAGATCTGTGAGCTTGGGCATTTTAATTACAAACCATGCGATCCCTGGCTGTCCTCCCTGGTAGGTCTGAAGGAACCACATCTCTGTGCCAGTTGAACACTCGACCCTCTTGGACGCTGTATTTAGAGCTATCCTACCACCCTGTGCTGTGCCATAAAACTTGGCTGTGGGCTCTTCTGACCTCTAGAGAGGTTTCTTGAAACAGGAGTCCTTATAGGGGGATGTCTGCTTCTGAACTATGTAAATCATGTGGCAGGTAGTAAGATTCACAAGGCTGCACTTAAGCTCTTAAATGGAAACCTTTATCCACTGAATCAATAACAGGAAAATCATCAGAGGCTGTTAAAATGATAAAGGGGCAGTGAGGCCTAGAGGGAGTTATTATTTCTCTCAACTGTGTAACTATTTTTGTAAGCATTACAAGCACACTGTTATGGAGATGGCTGATTCTTCAGGGGAGCACCTGCCTTTGAGAATGAGCACATGGCCTGATGTGATCAGTAAACATTCCTCTGGAAACACTTCCCACTTTGGGAGGCAAGGTGGCCCACTGTTTTAGGTGTAGGAAGCCTGCAGAATCGGGTCTCAGTGGGTCCAGGTAAGTCCCCAAGCTCCTGCAGGCCTGCTTCTCTCTCGGTGGCAGGACGGAGATGCACGGTACCTGCCTTGAGGCTGAGCATTCAGTCTCTGACCACACGACACACAGTCCAGTTTGCACTATGCCTGACACACAGCAAGCACTCCATAAACACAACTACCGTTATTCATTTACAATTAAGGGGGAGAGAGGTAAGTAGGCTTACCTGACCGTGATTTTCAAAATCATTTTCAAGGCGAATCCAAGAATCTGATGAGTGTGAAGACACTGGAAGAACCTGACTCTAACCTCTCATTCACGCAGGCTCCTTTCTCAAGCACCCCGATGCCCACAGGTGAAGGGGCACATCCCAAGGACGAGCCCACCTTAGCCCTGGACATCGTTCATTGCGTGAGTGAGCAATGCTTGAGTGAGAAACCCGACAGCAGTGTCCCCATAACTTCCGCTGCCCCTGGAGCCACACGGCAAAAGCCAGTGTCTGACAATCCTCCAGTAATAGTGAAGACACCTGTCATATTGCTGTCCAGCCAAAAGCTCCTTGTTGCAGGATGAACAGCCCCAGTTGCTTCAAACATGCCCCACATCTCATGGCCTCCACACAGGTCATATTAAACACCTCTACCAGAGACTGCACGCCCAAGTGTGGCTCCTCAAAGACCTTGCCGGGGGACTCTGCCACTGATGGCTGTGACCCACGCGCTCCTGAGAGCTCCCTCGTGGAACTGCCTCATTTCTATTGTCATCCTTGATTTTTTGAGATGGAGTCTCAGTCTTGCTCTGTCACCCAGGCTGGAGTGCAGTGGCGCAATCTCTGCTCACTGCAACCTTCACCTCCTGGGTTCAAGCAATTGTCCTGCCTCAGCCTCCAGAGTAGCTGGGACTACAGGCGTGCACCACCAGGCCCAGCTAACTTTTTGTGTTTTTAGTAGAGACGGGGGTTTCACCATGTTGGTCAGGCTGGTCTCGAACTCCTGACCTCGTGATTCACCCACCTCAGCCTCCCAAAGTGCTGGGATTACAGGCATGAGCCACCATGCCGGGCCATCATCCTTGATTTTATCCAAAAATGGTATTAACCTAGTCTGAATATCACATTTGCCTTTTTTTTTTTTCTTGAGACGGAGTTTCACTGTTGCCCAAGCTGGAGTGCAGTGGCACGATCTCGGCTCACTGCAACCCCTGCCTCCTGGGTTCAAGCAATTCTCGCACCTCAGCCTCCCTAGTAGCTGGGATTACAGGAGCACACCACCATGCCCGGCTAATTTTTTTTTTTTGGTATGTTTATTAGAGACGGGGTTTCACCATGTTGGCCAGGGTGGTCTCGTACTCCTGACCTCAAGTGATCCACCCGCCTCGGTCTCCAAAATGCTGGGATTACAGGCGTGAGCCACCATGCCTGGCCACATTTGCCTTCTGACGACTCTGAAATGGTTCTAAAAATCAAATTCACCCTGCAACAATGATTTGTTGTGCCTGAACATATTTAAAAATGTTAAGGTAGGGTGCAGTGGCTCATGCCTGTAATCCCAGCACTTTAGGAGGCCCAGATGAGCGGATCACCTGGTCAGGAGTTCAAAACCAGCCAGGCCAAGACTGTGAAACCCCATCTCTACTAAAGATACAAAAATTAGCTGGGCCCAGTAGCAGGTGCCTGTAATCCCAGTTACTCAGGAGGATGCGGCAGGACAATTGCTTGAACCTGGGAGGTAGAGGCTGCAGTGAGCCCACACTGCACCACTGCACTCCAGCCTGGGTGACAAAGGGAGATTCTATCTCAAAAATAAATAAATAAATGAATAATTAAAAAACAAGGCCAGGTGCAGTGGCTCATGCCTGTAATCCCAGCACTCTGAGAGGCTGAAGTGGGTGGATTACCTGAGGTCAGGAGTTCGAGACCAGCCTGGCCAACATGGTGAAACCCCATCTCTACTAAAAATACAAAAATTAGCTGGGCGTGGTGGCACGTGCCTATAATCCCAGCTACTCGGGAGGCTGAGGCAGGAGAATTGCTTGAGCCTGGGAGCCACAGGTTGCAGTGAGCCAAAATGAAAATCGTGCCACTGCACTTCAGCCTTGCCAACAGTGAGACTCTGTCTCAAAAACAAACAAACAAAAAGTTAAGAAACTAAAACTATAAAAATACCTTTTGGTTAACTTTTAAAACTATCTCTGTGGAGAAGCCTTCCTAATTATGACATGAAACTTAGAAGTCACAAAAAGATAAATTCTGAACACATTGTATCACAATGGGCTAATTTCCTTAATAAAGATCTACAATTAAAAAAATGATGATAATCTTATAGAAAATTGGCAAGGGATATGAACAGATGTTTCACAGAAATACAACTTAGATATACCAGATGAATTAGATCCATGCACATTAAAACTATCAGTTATCATTTTTCTAAATCTGCCAGAATGGCAAAGATTAAATTGGCTGTAGCTGTTAGGACATGGGGGAGGCCAGCACAGATGCTTGTCCAGTAGGATTGAAGGCAACGTGGCGATGTCTGCTTATGCCCTGAAACTCACTGCTCTGTGGTCCTGCCATCCAGACACGGGCACTGCAGGACTGAGGCAGCTCAGTGGGCAGCAATGGGTGCTAAGTGACATGGCGTACGTGGGCTGGGGTGGCGTTGGGGTGCGTGAGACCTGTCTGAGCTCGTCAATGCACACATCCTCTGAGGGAACAGAATTTTCAAGCAATCCTAGTTTGCTTCTTTTACGATGTGCATGTGTAGCTATTTTTGACAAATGAGAGCCTACTTCATTATCACAAAAGACACTCAGAGAGAAATGACTTGCATAATTTGCCGGGCCCAGAAATATTCCATGACTTATTTGGTGCACTTTTGGAAAACTTCCAGTTGTTTGCCTTTTTCAGGCATGAGGTCACTGACCTTCTTTAAATGGACCAAATTGATTTTGGCTTTACCTTCACGCGTTTGATTCTCAGCCTCCGGAGTTCTTTAAATATTTAAGCTAGTGGATATTACGGAAGTAAAGGTGCTGGCGGGGACCCAGCCCAGGCCGGGGTGGTGAGCGGGGAGGATAGGCCTTGTCATGCGCGCCAGAAGCAAGCTTCCTAGCCCTAGTCCTAATGCGACTTTTGACTCGTTGAGGGACCATCTCTCCTGCTCTTTCTCAGCCTGTGTCATACGCTGACCTCCAGACCTCTTCCCCAAGGTTTACGTTTTGAGGAGACTGCTAGGCAGAGAATAGCTGGCTCCAGTTCTCTGAGGGGTTCATTCCTGTCCCAGGGTCTCCCTCCAGCCTCCAGGGTTGGGGCCGCACTGGTGTGCAGCATGGCCATCCTCCCTTCGTCCCTTCCCTGAGTGCCCTGCAGGCACACAGCTGCTCAGACCTCAGGAAGGTTTCTGCCCAGACCCCTCTCCTGCCCCTGCCCACTGTGAGGCCCGGGCTCTGGGAGGGAGGAAACTGTTCCTCTTTTCGTCTGTCCTTTCCTGCTCTGCGCAGGCCTCTACCACATGACTCCATCAGCATTCGCTGCGCCCTGGGAGGCCCTAGGGCCAGACCCTGTCCTCCTGTCACAGTTGGTTGCCGGGGCTTCAGGCACAAGCACTCAGGGTATGGGCTGGTCTGCAGTTTCCCTGCCATGCAACACCTTTGGGATGCTTCCAGACCAAAACCAGATCCTTGCTGAACACAATGACGTGCAGACTTGCAGCTCACCCGAGGTGATGTGCCCAGGCCTTGCCTGGCCATGCTGTGGGTTGCTGGCCCGGCATGGGAGGAGCTCTGTGCTCAACAGATGCTGGGAGGGCTGGGGCCATTAGCCAGACCCTTCACCAGCCCCGGCCCCCAGGGGCCCTCCACTGCTGCGTCCTCAGGAGGGACGTCGACAGGACTGGAAATACATCACCCTGTTTGGCAGTTTTTCTAAGCTTTAGTAAACAGGGATCTCAGGTGCCAGGTGGGCAAGTACTCCTGTCACTCAATGAGAGGAAGCCCAGAGGAGAGGAAGCCCCTGTCAACCTTTTATTGGTAGTGGAACACATGAGGTTCAGCTCGTGCCGGGCACTGTACATTCACTGAAGCAGCGGGGCGGGCTTGGCCCTGGGCACCCATGCCACACTGAGCAGGACGCATGGCTCGGGGCTCACACTGTCCATGGAGGAGCTGGGGTCAGCCCGAGGTGGATGGATTGTGGCCCGAGACACCGAGAGCTTGGTTCTGGGACTGTGGCTCAGCCGACCCGCGGCACAGCTGCGTCTAAGACATGGCCCTGGCTAGGCAGCAACGGTTCACAGTAGCGATACATTCACAGGACACAGTCGGTGTCCAGAAAAGGGGGCTCAGAACACAGTTTCTACACAAGCACTTGGCACCCACATGACAGAGATGTCACTCAAGCAGCACAGCCACAAATTGTTTACAGCAGCTCACGCCTGGCATCGCCCACGCTGGGAGATTCCCTGAAGAGTGGGCACTTGCCATCTGTGAGGAGGTGTCTCCCTCCATCATTAACCCCAAACCACACAGGGTGTGAGGAGAGCAGGCCTCTGGGTGAACTCACACATTCATACCCAAGGAAGAGGCAAACACGCTCAAGTCCAGAGTTGCCAGTGGTGCCGCCCAGACCCACTGTCTCAGGGGTGTGATGGCTGTCCCTCGGCTTCCCCAGAGCAGCCAGGACAGCCTGCACCACCTCCCAGACTCTCGAAGGAAGGGGAGATCTGCCCTGGGGAGGCAACTGATGGGCTGGGAGACAAGACTCCCATCGCAGGGACACGCATGGCAGAAGCCACAGCCCCGCGGACGGGGCACAGGGATGGGGCAGGCAGGGAACCATGCTGCCCCTCAGTGTGTGCCTGTGGTTCTGTCCTGGTCCTGCCCACTTGGAGCCCAGGCAGGCAGGGGGCATTGGGCAGGGCCCAGGTCCAGACAGCCCTCTGGCCAGATGTTACTGGAAGAGGCTGATGCCAGGGCAGCACCAGGCCTTCTGCAAGTCCCAGAGTCAGTGTGCAGAAAGTGCCACCACGGCCTGTACTGTGGCTCCTCAGGATGAAGTCACGTCCAGGACAGGAGGGTTTATGCAGACACTGCTGACGGGGACAGGGGTGGCTCGGCCGCTATGAGGCTGGACTCTTCTGTCTGTTCAGGGAGTCGATGTAATGAAAAATGGCCCCCAGAGCCCAGCTGGTCTCAACATTGTCAATTTTCCGAGTGAGCTTGAAAAGACAGAGAGGGAGAGGGGACCATCACGCAGACAGGAAAGGCTTGTGCATCAGAGGCTGTGGCTCCTTGGAAGCCAGGGATGGGCTGGGGGACACAACCCCAGTAACTAGAGAAGTGGTTCCAGGCCCCTCACTCCATAAAGGGGCTGGGGTGTGCCCCGAGGGCACCCTTACCTTCAGCACTTTGCTCCTGGGAAAGCCGAACTCCTGGAGTAGCAAGCTGACGTAGGTGAGGTCCATGCACGCAAAGGGGCTGCTCTGTGGCTGTGTCTCCAGGGTCCGACACACTGGGGATGAGACACATCCCTTCAGGCTCCAGGTGACTCCCACCCAGGGGCGGAGGGGCAAGTGCAGACCCCAATTCCACCCACTACAGGCACCCGCTGGCTCCGCACTCCGGATTCACAGACAAGACTGCAGCTGAGTGCAGAAGGCGCCTAGTGCACAGCACAGGCAGGTGGGCAGCAACCTCGGCTGCCACTGAGTCTGGGCTCCAAGGGGACTTCACACCTGGTGTTAAGGTCATGGGCCAACGTCTCCCAAGCCACATTTCTACATCTAAGACCCTGGACACCTCTCCCAGGTGTCAACCTGAATAAAACGTAAGCTTTCTGGGGAAAGAAAACACCAAAACCAGCTCAGAACAATCCACTCCTGCTCTTTGAGGAAGGTCAAATCCACCAAGAACTGTCCTGGGATTATGGCTCAAAGCCTTTTCCTGCTGTAGTTGTGGATACCCAGTGTCCATGGGCACAACTGGGAAAATGACACAAAAGCTTTAAAAAAAGCCACTTTTGGGGGAGGGGAAGGGTAGTACTTTTTCTGGAAAGATGTACAAAGTTCAGCTCTTTGGACCCACACATTGGGAAGGGCAACCAAGAGCAGGAGATGTTCGCCAAGGCTTGGTTGCTGGACCAGGCATGAAGAAGACGGTGGAGGGGCGAGGTGTGTGGCACAGGTTCTGCTGGGCTAGTCGCCTGCGACCCCGGGGACAGCCCTCCACCCCACATCCCAGGCTCCACTCTGCAGGGCCTCGGCTTCTTAAGGGTTGTGTGACAATCATGAACTTACTGGGACATCCCAGGGGAAATCACTCTTGGGGTTACCCTAGTAGCAGTAAAATGGCATCAGAGGAAGTGGAATCGAGGGACCCAGTTCCTTATGACCCCATGGGGGTGGGACGAGGACGGTGGTCCTTTCTCAGCTGGGGCCGCCAAGGCCCCAGCCTGTGGCCACCGTTTAGGAGGGGCTACTCCCAGGAGAGTCCGGGCCAGCGCCTGCGTCACGAGCACCATGCACCTGCTGAGGCGGCCCCCGTAGCATCACTCACCGTACTTGGCTGCGATCTCAAAGTCCCCCACCACCAGGCTGCCTCTCTTCTCCGCATCTGTGGGGGACAAAACACCCAGTCTGCAGGAGCACCGTGAGGCTGGCGATGCCACTGAGACACGAGGCTGGCGCGGGGAACGCCGGCCTGAGAGCCCCAAGGCACTGACTGGCTTCTGAGGCAGGCCCTCCAGCTGTAGACGGCCACTCACATGCTCTGAGGGCAGCTTCTGGGTGATGTGGCATGGGGTGGGCTTGGGGGCTGAGAGGGTTACCCCACATCCCAACCCTGCAGTGTCGCCTGAGAAAGCTCACCAGGAACCCAGGACCCCAAATTGAGTAAAATTTTAAGTTAAGAAAAATAAAAGTAGAGAAATTGAAAAGTTTCCGGAAGCCATAGCACTGAGCTCAGCAACAGTATTCTGGTTTCAGTTTCCCAAATGTAGAAAACAAAAAAAGAAAAGTTATTGAAAAATAAAGTGAGGGGTGGTTTACTGGTGGCCTTCCACCTTGACCACCCATCTTCCACCCAGGCCAGTCAGCGGTAGCTTTGTCAGCACAGACACCCACCGGAGGCCGTGGGGCCCAGAGAGCCAGCACTGTGTTAGCTTATTTAAAACGGTAGTGTTCTTATCCTTACCACAGGCCATACATTCTGATGTTCTCCCCATGGTAGTGACTCTGTAACCCCCTCCAGAGTCCCCACACAGCCTGACCACCACCAGCCTCAGCAAACTCTGAATACCCTTTTCCGCCCTAATCTGGCTTCCTGGGCTGTGCAGGGTGAGTCGGAGAGACTCCACATTCAGTGAGCTGATCCCTCCCACGGGGACAGGGCAGCCACCCGCAGGTCACAGGAGGCCTCCTGTAGCCAGGAGACAACGTGGGCCAGTGCAGGGCAGGACCTGCCTTCTAGCAGGAACTGGAATCAACAGCAAGTCACCAGCCACGAGGTTTTACTGAAGGGCTCAAAGAACTGATCTTTTCCTACTCAGGACGAGACGCCTTCCCAAATCGACTTCTGGCCTCCTTCCAGGATGTGGCAACAGGGTTGCTTGCCAGACACCGGCCCTCTGCCTTGGGGAGCACACGCCCTCCACGCCCGCCCCCCACCACCCCCCGCCGCCCCGAACTTCCTGCTCAGCCCATCCGGGCCCCCTTACCTATGAGGCCCACACCAGCTGCAAGGTCGTAATAGTAGGAGAAAGCATAGAAGTCCACATGCTTCACTTCCTCCGTCCTGTGCACTCTGTTCCGAAGGACCTCTGACACTCTGGCAGCACACAGCTCGTGCAGGCTTGCCACTGGGGACAAGCACAAGGCTAGCAGTCAGTGGGCTCCGAGCACCAGGCCTCATAGCTGCTTGGGGCCCCTCCCAGGGGACTTGAGACCCTGACCTGAATGGTCAGGAAAAGGCAGGTCCAGAAGCCCCTAAGACCCCACCCCAAGTTGGGGCTGCTCCCCACACAGGTCCAAAGCAGCCCTCAGGAGCCAGGGCACTGTTGGTCCCTGGGCAGGGAGCAAAGACTGTGGGCACGAAGCAGCCGCAGACCAGGACTCTGAGGAGGAGGCTGCTGATGCCTGACACCAGCCGGCCTCTGGCCTGTCGGGACCATCTGCCCTGCATCCCCCCTCTGCCAGGCCTGCGTCCCACCTCCTCGGGAGGCCTGCACCCTCCCTATGTCATAGATAAGGAAGCGGAGGCCCAGCTCACTTGCCAAGCTCCCATGGCTTAGGGGAGAGCAGGAACAGAGGACCCCAGAGGTCAATGGACCATGTGGACATCTGAGGGCACCTCTACACCCCACACCTTGACCCGGCTTCCTGGCTTTCCCAGTCTGCTCCACCAGGCCCCGTCCTTCCGAGTGCTTCCAGGGTTCCCATGGTCCATAGACCCACGCTCCGACCCTATGATCTCATTTCCTCCTGCTGTCCCTCGCCAAGCCACACCACCTCCTCCTCGTTCATTAAACACAGCAGCTGCCAGAGGGTCCCGGTGTGTGCTGTTTGCCCGGCCTGGGGTGCTGCTGCTTCAGATCTGTGCAGTTCCTTTAAACCTCCTCCTGTCTTAGATCCCATGGTACCCTACGAGGCCATCCTTGGCTGTCCTAGTTACAGCTGCAATCGCCCTCTCAGACCCCCACCCCCATGTTATTTCTCCCGGAAGGCCTTTCCGATGAGCTTCACGGTCTGGCTCCTCCTGTGGAACGCAGCTGCGCACTTCTGCTGTGCCTGATGCGGCCCCCCAGCACGTGCACCAGTGGGTGACTGAGTTGGAGGGACCTGTACGGTTCCTGAAGGCATGTACTCCTCATGCTGAGTGCCCAGTCTGGGAGTGGTGTTTGAACATTTCTCTCAGAAGAAACTGCAAGGGCACAGAGCACCAGAGCCTGCCCAGGGCCAGTGGACAAGAGTGGGCTCCATGGCCTCGAGCAGGATAGGTAGGAGCAGACCCTCCCTCACTCCCTCCCAGCACAGCACAGAGTGCCTGGGCTCCCAGCCCCAGTCCTGCATCTGAGCCCCGAGCTGGTCCAGTCCTTCCTCCCTGCAGGCCTGTTAGGAAATCAGCCCTCAGGAGGAAGCTTCTGGTGACAGTCAGGGGAGTGTTGAGCAGAGGCAGAGGGAAGGAACCAGCTCTCAGCACAGACACAGGCCCCTGCAGCTGAACCACCTTCACTTCCAGGGCAGGTACAGGCTCTTCAAGGAGAGGTCAGGAGCCTCCTGTGGAGCGTCCCATGGGATGTGGGAAAGGCAAGGGGGAGAGGAGGCCGCCACTCTCTCCCGCAGAACCCAACAAGCAGCAACCTTCCCCATACCTGCTTTCTGCCCCGAAACCCTGTATGTGACTTCTGCGTGTTCCTACTCTCCTTTGAAACTGGGAGACAAGCAAGGGCTGACCAACTCCTTTCCATCCTTAGCTGAAACAGAGATTAAAAAGGAAAGAGAAAGGAAGATATATCACTGCCATGGACTAGGGCTCAGCCAGGAGTCATGGAGGCCCTGGCTTGACACTGGATGGGGGAACCTGAGTGGCTTCCAGGTCCACTGGGAAGGCAACACCTCCCTGGGAAGCGGCAGCAAAGCCTCTTTGGCCAGGAAGCACACGGCTGCCAGGACCATGCCCAGCCCACGGCCCTGGGCATGTTGGGTGCCAGGCACTGGGCCAAGGGCTGTTCAGTGAAGTATGACAACAGTCCTCTTAGGAGGGGAGCCATCATCACCCAGTTTTATAGGTGACCAAGGCGGTCAATAGCTGGTAGGTTGGTGGCAGGGCCAGGACAAGTGCCGCCAGGTGCCACCATGCCTTGAATGGAATCTGCTGCTCCAATACACACAAGCTGGGGGCTCAAAACCAGCAAAGGAAGCGTATTGGTCCCAGGGCTGGCCCCAGCATCATGCTCGAGGACGGCAGGCTGCTGTCCCACCAAAAGGTGCTGGTCCCATCCCTGGACTCTGGCCTGGGCCTGCTTTCCTTGATGGAATGGGCAGGAAATGGTGACCTCAGGGTAGCCTTCCTTTTCTAAAGCCACTGCAAAAGCATCCCAGGCTGCTCTGCTGGGGCGAGGCCATGTGGAAGAGCGCCCAGGTCTAGATAGCCGCCCAGCAACAGGCACGTGCACAGACCCAGTCTAGACAGCTGTCCCAGCCGTATGCACTTGCACAGACTCCCAGGACCCCAGTGGGGGGTCTAGACAGCTGCCACAGCCATATGCACCTGCACAGACCCCCAGGACCCCAGCAGGGGCGGGGGGGCGTCTAGACAGCCACTACAGCCACAGGCATGTGCACAGACCCCCAGGACCCCAGCGGGGGGATCTAGACTGCCACCACAGCCACAGGCACCTGCACAGATCCCCAGAACCCCAGCAGAGGTGCCACCCAGATAAGCCTGTGTGATCAGCCATGAGATTCTAGCCGTGACTGCTGTTTGCTGTTCTTTCACTCTACTTGGGGGGTCTGTTATGCAATAACCAGTAACAAAACAGAGAGACTCATTCTCCTGGGTCCTCATAGCCACTTTGTACAGCCTGACGAGGAGACCTTCTTGCTGCTCTGCTGGGTGGGAGAGGACTCAGTGTCTGAGCTGCAACTCCCTGGGAACCACAAGGGGCAAAGAGGTACCTGGCTTTTCTCATTGGCTAAATAATAGGTGGTTTTTGGCCCCAGAATAAGGGCTGCAGGTGTTTCTGAGACATAGACATGGTTTTTGTTTGCAACAAAAGAAATACCATTATGAAGATAAACACCAAGATTTGAAAGAAAGAACTGAAGTAGGGCATGCATGGGAGAATGAAAATTCCAGTTGAACAACCTACTCTGTCAGATACCAGGCCCTTGGAAGAAGTGGGCAGGGGTGCTGGGCCAATGGGGCACTGGGGGCTGAGGTAAGGGCATTTGGCTGGAGCACACGTGGGTGCTGCTGAGCGCCTCATACACACATCAGACACTAAGGCCTTGGGAAGGCCTCTGTGGCCTGGTCAGTTCCATCAGGGAAGACAGGTGCCACCAGCCTCAGGGCCGTGCCCCCGACCTGAAGCAGACCATGGCATCCTGAGATCTCCTAAGTCCATGCCCATTGTGATGCCCATTGTAAGGAGCAGAGGCCCTGGCCCTGATGCAGGCTGCGTCCCCAGGCCAACTCCACATCTCAGGAAGGGCCAAGTCCACATTTCATGACCCTTCGCAGAGCAAGGGAGGAGGGATGTTCTTGCAAGGCTGGAATCATGAGCAAGAGAGAAAACCTTTCCCGATGGCAAGAGCCCAGCACCCACCCCATGGCCCTCCTGTGCTGTCTGAACAAGGTCCTGTCTTCACATCCCTAAAGCTGGCTCCCAACATAGGGAATGAGTGTGCAGTTCCCTGGTTCCCTCAGTTTCAGCTCAGTGCTTCAGAAGGGATTTCACCAGCATCTTTTAAAAAATAACTTGGGGCTGGGTAGCGTGGCTCACGCCTGTAATCCCAGCACTTTGGAAGGCCAAGGCAGGCAATCATTTGAAGGCAGGATTTCGAGACCAGCCTGGCCAACATGGTGAAACCCCGTCTCTACCAAAAATACAAAAATTAGCTGGGTGTGGTGGTGCACATCTGTAGTCCCAGCTACTGGGGAGGCTGAGGCATGAGAATTGCTGGAACCCGGAAGGCAGAGGCTGTAGTGAGCCGGGATCATGCTACTGCACTCCAGCCTGGGTGACAGAGCGAGTGAGACATTGTCTCAAAATAAAGAAAGAAATACTTTGGAACGTGGACAGGTACACCACCACCCTGGGTTCCTGCCCCATCAGGTTGCCACTAACAAGGTCTGCAGCACAGCCCTCCACTCGCATGCCCTGGCCTGGCCGGGTGCCTAGTGTGCAGCGGGACAGCAGTGGGGTGGAAGGGGAGGAGGGACCTCTCCCCCAGGGCCAAGCTGCCACCCTCCTGAGGGGCTCCTCATTCCCACTGAGAATGGAGGGCAGAGGCTGCAAGAGCGGGCCCGGGGCAACATGTCCACTCACCAGGCTGCCCCTCCACACCGCCCAGGATCGCCAGGCGTGCCGACATCAGCCCGAGCCCGAGGTAGCTGTGGGAACGACACCTTAGTGAGGGCAGCTGCCATGGCAGGTACAGGGCATGGCAGGCTCACCTCTGAGACCCAGCCTGAGTGGGGAAGGGGGAGCTTGCAGCAAGGCAGTTAGTGAGCTTCTTTGCTCCTTCTAAAAGCCTCTTTCTGTCAGCTGAGGAAACTTAGCTAATTAATTCAACACACGAGGGCCTATCATATGGCAGGAGCTCATCCAGGAGCTGCAGACACTGTGGTGAGTGGGACTGACTCGACCCCAGTCTGGGATGCTCCCACTTTGTAACAACAATCGACTGAAGCCTGCACATGGCAATAGGTGGCCCGGAACACTCCTGTGCAGCCCTGGTTCCTCCCACTTCTCAAACCTTCTCCAAAGCAGAACAGAATAAGCACACAAGGAGGAATATGCTATACTGTAGACAAATTAAAGGACAAAGGAGGACAGAGGAGGTGGGAGGAGGAGGAGGAGAGAGAGATCTGGGTGGATTCCCAGCACAGGAACACCAGGATCTGCCATCCATGACCTCAAGAGGGCCATGTGAGGCCCCAGGAGCTACATACCCGCCCCATGGTGCCTCCCCATGCCTATTCCCGAAAGCAGACCTGTAGGAATAGAGTTTGTAGGTCCTGTTAAACATCCGCAGTGCCGTCAGGTAGCCGGGTGGGGAGGCCTGCAGGGTGCCCTGGGGAAGAACGAGGGTAACTATGCTTGCTGCTGGTCTTTCTAGAAAATTCTCCTCCACCCACTGAATTCATTTGAAAGAAAGGGGATGGTCAGGTGCAGCCAATTAAAGGAGCTGTTCACTAGGTTGCTGGTTGCGAGACAGGAGCAGGCAATGAGGAGCCAACATCCCAGTGAAGAACGGTGCCTCCTTCCCACAGGCAACCCCTCCCATGCTGACAAACACGGCACAGCCACAACGACGATCATATCAGTACCTACAAGCCCACCCTACCATGGAAAACTACCCACAACAGGAGGATGAGTGGGTGAGGAGGGAACTGTTTTTAGAGCAGCAGACGCCTCAATGGGAAGTGTTTTCACTGAAAAGGTTGGAAGCTCCCTCCCAACCTATGAATTGGACGAAATCTTTCTGCTCTTGTTCCTTTCGGAACCCTGAAGGGGAGGGAGGCAGCAAGCACTTCACACCCTCTGGCCCAAACGTTTCTAGTTATTCTCTAATTTATCACCCCTCTAAAGAACAAATTTCTGTTTTTGGCTTTTTTCCTGGTGGAATTAAAACTCCAAGCCAGAAGCATCATCTGTGAGTGAGTCCAGCTCTCAGATGAGGAAATGACCACAGGGGTCCAGAGGCCTGGCCAACCCCACCCCGCAGCACCTCAGCAGGCCCCACCCTGCACCCCCATGCGGGCGTGGCCTCGGGGTAGGAAGAGCGTGTGGTCGGCAGGGGCTCGTTACCTCTACGCGTGGCAGGAAGGCAATCTGAGTGGATCCTCCGCCCAAGTCCAGCATGCTCCCTCCTGGAGTTTTCAAGCTGCCTGGAGCACAGCAAGCAAAAACAGCACGGGGCATTAGTAAGACGGCGAGAACAGCAGAAAAGCCAGGGTGAAAGCCAGGCCCTCAGGGGAAAGAAAAACAAGACAGAGAAGTAGCTCAACTATTGACAAATCTCCATTTAAGGATACACTATATATCTAAGGGACAAGAGTAATGGCTCCACCAGCCGTGGTTTAATTTGGATCCTGACGGGACAGCACGAACCTTCAGGGGAGATACTGAAACTGCCGTATCAACTGGGAGGGAGCCCGCTCGCCTAGCTCCCAGGAAGAGCTGGGCCCTGTTCTGATCAGCCTGTCTCCACTCCCCAGAACATCTCAGGCGGAGGCTCCCAACCCACCTCCTAACATTTCTATCCCCCAAAGTGGCAAATGGGCAAACCTGACAGGAAACTTCTTTCCTTTCTATACGTACATCAGAAACACTGCTCTTTCCCATAATTCCAGCAAAGGGACAAAAATCCACATGCGCTAAGAAAAATGACTCCTTGTCACTTGTTTCTAAAAACAGATGTTTCCATTCCCTTTTCCACCTACAGCAGAGGAATCCAATTAGAAGGTGAATGTCGTTCACATCGCATTCAATATTGGAAGATATGACTGATTTGATTCATTACTTCTCTTAGAAATGAGAGGATGGGGGTCCTGGTGGATGTTCTGCAGGCGACAGGGCAGGGGCTGTGCTGGGAGAAAAATGCCCCAGATCTGCAGAGAAGCACCCCACTCCTACCATCTACACCTGTGAGTCAGATGGCTGACCCCATCCATCCCCAACACCCTATGGTTAGTCAGCAACATTGCCAAACCCTGAGGGGTTATCTTAAAGAGCAGAAATGAGGCTCCTGCTCTCGAAAGGCCTGGCTGAGCCCTCTGCAGGCGTCTGTGGCGGCTAGCCTCTGTGATGCAGTGCACACACACCTGTCAGGAAGTTGACGGTGATCCACGCCGAAACGCCTACAAGAGAGTGTCACAGGCATTATTTTAATCACTTGAGATGCTGAGAGCATAACACACAGGACCGTTAAATGACAATTTTCAGATCTGGGGAGCACGAAGGGATCACTTCTACACTACACCCAGCCTTTGGATCATCGGCAGAGAGGAGCATTTCTCGTAAATGCATCCAGCAGCTTCCGGCCGACTGTCCGGGAGACAGCAAACTGAATCCTAAAGCACTTCACCAAACGCCGCTTCTCTCCTCCGGTTATTACTGGCCTCCTCTTTTTGGAAGAAGCAGAAAAAGAACACAGTGCTCCCCTTCCTCCTCCATACACACTCATTCTCAAGGTCATATTGAAGACCCATCAGGAGCCAGTGAGGAACTTTAAATGTCTTTTAGAATTAACAATGCAACAACATTCTAAATGTGGCGGCAACTGGAGATTCTCTCCAAATGTTCTTAAAACTAAAAACACGATGTTTTTTAGAAGCTCCATTCGGGCCAGGTTTGGGGTTGGTCAAGATAATCTGTCTCTGACAATGACCCCAAAAAGACCCTTTTGTGACATGTCAATTGTAACTCAGAACAGGGCTGTAACAGCCATGATTCTTCACTTGAGCACCTGACAGGGGAGGAGGCTCCCACACGGGGCAGGGTGGGGGATGGTTAGAAGCAGCAGGATCGCTCCCGCCCACCTCACTGCACAGCCCTATCGTACAGAGGCGCTTCCAGACGCTTTACCTTCATCTGTTCCGTTCATGATGGAAACACAGTCATCCCCTACAAGGAAAGGCGATGCTTTAAACACTTCTTTCACCTAAATGTAAAGAGAGATGTTAATTCATCCTTTAGAATGAATGAATGAATATATTTATTTATTTAGCTAGTTAGCTAGTCAGTCAAGTGAAGCAGTGTGGGTGGAGAAGAACAAAAAAATCTGTAACTGGTTGTGATCAATTAATCGCAAATACTACTGCACTCAGATCAGCTTTCTTCATCCTTTAGAATTTATGGTCAAGGGTTTTGCATCATGCTATTGGCAGGCAGTAACGAAACCCCAGGGGCACCTGCCAATGTTCTGTAAGTCTGTTCAGGCCTCTCTAATCCATTGCAAGTTAATCTACCACCAGGGCTCGCTGAGGCCCATGCTGCCCTGGAGACCCTATCCTAAGCCAGCTGGGGCTTAGAAGGGCTCTGGGGGCTGCAGAGACTGGGGGAAGCTGGGGCACACTGGGCCTGCTGGGCTCTAAACATTGCCCTGCTTTGGGATGTGAGATAAAGGAGCCGGAAGTCCTCCAAGGCAGACAGCAACCTTCACCAGGGCCCTGGCCTCTGGGGGTATTTCCCTGTCCACCTTTCAGCAAAATCTACCCACAGAAGCTTCAGCACCTCTGCACACCCCACCTGCATGCGTGCCCCACAATCCAACCCTGTGAGGGACCCTGACAGGTGTGCCCTGTGCCCTCCTCCCACAGGTAAATGGGTGGAGGTAGCACCGAGGGGAGGAGGACCCACTGCGGAATGCTGGGCGGCTGGGGACACACTGGCCCTGACGTGCCAGGACTGGGAGAGGCCACAGGGCCTCTTCGACAGTCATGTATGAGCATCAGACCAGGAGCAGAATGAGCAGCTGCCATGGGGAACAAGCAGGCTTCTTCAGCTGCAGCGCTGGGGCTCAGCACACATCAACTTCTGACCAGGATCAAGTCCCTTGAAGGCACCATGTACTTTTATTTATTTTTATTTATTTTTTTGAGACAAGGTCTTGTTCTGCTCCCCAGGCTAGAGTGCAGTGGCATAATGACCAGCTCAGTGCAGCTTTGACCTCCTGGGCTCAATCAATCCTCCCACCTCAGCTTCCTAAGTAGCTGGGATGACAGGAATGCACCACAATGCCCAACTAATTTTTGTGTTTTTGGTAGAGATGGGGTCTTGCTATGTTGGCCAGGCTGGCCTTGAACTCCTGGGCTCAAAATGATTTGCCCACCTTGGCCTCCCAGAGTACTGGGAGTACAGGCATGAGCCACTGTGCCCAGCCCACAGTACACTTCTAAAATCAAGCTGCCTTCCTTCCTATAAAACACAGATTCACTCTAGAAAACATGAATAACCTTAAATGTCACAAGGAACAAAGTATCATCTGCCCACCATCTCTCCACCTAAAAGTGATGCTCAAACTTTTCTTCAGAAGCATCTGTGTCCTGCCTGATGGTGCAGCACTGGTGAGACAGCAGGTGTTTTTAGTCATCAGCAGGTCCTGGGGGCTGGCTAATGGCACTGGGGAATGGCCAGGCTCACCTTCTGTAGTAACTTCTGGGCCTTTTCTCCAGGTAACAGGCGTAAGCCAGCTGTGGCCTTGAGGACCAGAGGGGTGGCCTTCCAGAAGTCGAATGGAATGTCCTGTTTCGCAACATCCAGTAGTTCCTGGATTCCCTGAGCGCTCTGTGAACACGGTAAGAGCAAAGCGGGGTTTGTCAAATGCAGCATACAGGGTCACACGTGCTGCTTCCACCCTTCCAGGGTTTTTTGGTTTCTGGAGACAGTCTCACTGTGTTGCCCAGGCTAAAGTGAAGTGGCTTGATCACAGCTCATTTGCAGCCTTGAATTCCTGGGCTCAAGTGATCCTCCTGCCTCAGCCTTCCAAGTAGCTGGGACAAGGGCGTGAGCCACGATGCCCAATTAATTTTTAAAAACTTCTGGCCGGGTGAGGTGGCTCACGCCTATAATCCCAGCACTTTCGGAGGCTGAGGTGGATCACAAGGTCAGGAGATCAAGACCATCTTGGTTAACACAGTGAAACCCCGTTTCTACTAAAAATACAAAAATTAGCCAGGTGTGGTGGTGGGCGCCTATAGTCCCAGCTACCCAGGAGGCTGAGGCAGGAGAATGGCATGAACCTGGGAGGCAGAGCTTGCAGTGAGCTGAGATGGCGCCACTACACTCCAGCCTGGGCGACACAGCGAGACTCCATCTCAAAAAAAAAAAAAAAAGAAAAAAGAAAAGAAAAAAAAACTTCTTATAGAGATACTATGTCTCTGTGTTACCCATGTTGGTCTTGAACTCCTGGCCTCAAGCCATTTCCCACCTCAGCCCCACAAAGTGCTATGATTAGAGGTGTCAGCCACCATCCCTGGCCCTTGCCTTTATAAATTTTTTTTTCCTGATTTTCAAAATCTGCAGGAAACAGTGACGCAAGTGGTACTGGCAGGTGTGTGGGAACACAGGGACCAGGTGAAACATGGCAGGGGGAGGACAGGTCAGGAGAATAAGCCTGCTGTTCTACTGTAGCCTGGTGACCTAAGCCCACACCCAGACCTGTGCCAATCCTCACGGGCAATCTCAGGTGAGCCTCAGCTTCACTGGACATTGCAAAGGTGTGGCACTAGGCAATTCTAGGGTCCCTCCTGGCACTAAACCCCCATGACACCTACATCGAGGAGTCACTTCACCTGCCAGAGTGCTGGATCCAGAACCCAAGGCTGGATAAGGCCCTATGTCGGTGTGTGCATGAGAGTGAAGGCCTGGAAGGCGGCCGGGTGTTGTAGACAGGTGTGATTCTGTGGGGACACGTGGGCCGCATCTGTCCAAGGGAAAAACACATTCCTCCTATCCAGAAATCCCACTCCAGTAATTCATCTTGGGAGGCCGAGGTGGGAGGATCACTTGAGCCCAGGAGGTCAAGACCACCCTGGGCAACACAGCAAGACTCCCATCTCTACAAAGCATTTAAATATTAGCCGAGCATTGCGGTGTGCACCTATGGTTCCAGTTCCTCGGGAGGCTGAGGTGGGAGGATAATTTGAGCCCAGGAGGCAGAGGTTGCAGTGAGCTGTGATTGTGCCACTCTCTGGGTGACAGAGAGAGACCTCATCTCGGGAAAAAAAAAATAGAGAATTCATCTGAGAGATGCCCCTTGAGTGTGTGGATAATGAAGTATGTGTCAGGTGCAGCCTTTTTCTACTGTCAAGAGAGAAAAATTGGACATTATCTAAACGTCCTTCAGAAGGGGACTGGTTCCATCAGATAAGAGTGCAGCATCCAGGCAATAACATTCAGCCAAAAAAACTAAGGAAGCTCTGCACATACAGACATAAACGCTGTCCAACTATCCTGCTCAGCAGCAAAGCCAAGGGCCTCGGTATGGACGCCACCATGGGTGTGAGGTAAAAATGGGGAGAACACAGATGCCTCTGTTTACATACACATCAACCAGCCTCAAAGGATGCTAAGAGAGCCAGGACATGGGCCTCCGAGGCAGCCCGGAGTAGGAGGGAAATCTGTGCTGTCACCCTGGAGGGCGTGGACATTTGTCCCACTTGAATGTGTGTCAACTACTCAAACAACTAAGGCCTTAAAAATCCTAGGAGCTTATTCTAAATTTATCTCATTTAATCAGGTTTAGCTGTAAGGTCACTCTAGAATCACTAATTTCAATTTCTTTTTTAACAAAGCTACAGGAAAGCAAGGCTTGAACTACATCGTCCAAGACCATGACACATTTGTGGACAAGAGCAATGTACTAGCTCATGACTTAAGAAATGCCTGAACCAAAAGGAAGTTACAACTCTCTCCATAGCCCATTTTGTGGGTGCCTCAGTAGAAAATCAGGCATCCTGCAGTAATGCATCCTGCATTAGTGCAGCTGTAAGCTTTAAGGACCTGAGATAGAAGTAGCAATGATACAAGCTTACATAAATCATTATTTGACAATTTTATTAAATTTCTATTTATTTGGTTTTGTGGATTTTGCATAATATATTGTTTTTGGATGGGGTTGGAGTCTCACTCTGTCCCCCAGGCTGGAGTGCAGTGGCGCAATCTCGGCTCACTGCAACCTCTGCCTCCCATGTTCAAGTGATTCTCCTGCCTCAGCCTCCCAAGTAGCTGGAACCACCATGCCCAGCTCATTTTTGTATTTTTAGTAGAGATGAGGTTTCACCATGTTGGCCAGGTTGGTCTGGAACTCCTGATCTCAGGTGATCCACCCGCCTCAGCCTCCCAAAGTGCTGGGATTACAGGCGTGAGCCACTGCGCCCAGCCCGTAACATGTTTTTAACTTTTTTCTTTACATATAAGGTCTCACTCTGTCACCTGGGGCACAATCGTGGCTCACTGTAGCCTTGACCTCCCAGGCCCAAGTGATCCCCCCACCTCAGTCTCCCAAGTAGTTGGGATGACAGTGTGTACCACCATGCCTAGCTGATCTTTAAATTTTGTAGCAATGGGGTTCTCACTCCATTGCCCAGGCTGGTCTTGAACTCCTGGGCTCAAGAGATCCTCTTGCCCCAGCCTCCCAAAGTGCTGGGATTGCATGTGTGACCCACCAGGCCCGGCCAACGTTAATTTTTTATTTCAGTCAATGTTTGCTATCTTCAATCAGAAACCACAACAAAAAATTAAAAATGTATTATGCAAAATTCACAAGACAAAATTAGTGTAAAAATATGAATAAGTAAACTGTCAAATAATGATTCTTGTAAGTTTGTAGGATTTGTGCTTCTGACCTGTACCAAGACCTCGGGACCCCCAGGTTGGAGAACTGAGCGCTGGCACAGTGGAGTCAGAGGATGGAGCCGGGTGGGGGTGCGTTCTCCTTTGGCCTCACGCGCTGCACACCTTCTCTCATCTGACCATCCCAAATGGCGTGAAATGCCCAGGCAGCACCGTCAAAGCCCCCTTCCCTTGTGAAGACAGCCTACCACATTCAAAGGAAAAGAACTGGCTTGAACACATTCCGCAGCTGAACAGGGAGACACGGGAGAGGATCCTTACCTTTTCAACATCATCAGCATAGGCAGAAAGACCTGGCTTCAGTGCTTTGAAGGTTTCATGGGTCAAGGTGGGAGTTTCTAAGGGAAAAACATGTTGAAAAGGGTACAACTATGAATACACACACGAGAACACATACAATCACAACTAGCCACACTTTTTAAAGACAGACGCTGACAATACAGACCAATCCCCAAGTGGCAGGGGCCCTTCAGCTATTCCTTGTCTAAATTCTGACTCTTTGTTCATCAGAACAAGATGAGTATAATACCTAATGTCTTGGCCAGAACGTTACTTATTATTTTTTAAAAATTATATTTATTATAATTATTTTTTTAAAATTATATTTATTATAATTATTTTTTTTTAAAAGAGATGGGCTTTTGCTATGTTGCCCAGGCTGGTCTTGAACTTTTGGGCTCAAGCAATCCTCCCATCTCAGCCTTCTGAGTAGCTGGGACTACAGGTGCAAGCTACTGTGCCCTGCATTTTACTTTTTAAGAATCCAACTTTATGGCCAGGCACGGTGGCTCACGCCTGTAATTCCAGCACTTTGGGAGGCCGAGGTGAGAAGATCACGAGGTCAGGAGTTTGAGACCATCCTGGAGAATATGGTGAAACCCCGTCTCTACCAAAAATACAAAAAAAATAGCTGGGTGTGGTGGCGGGTGTCTGTAGTCCCAGCTACTTGGGAGGCTGAGGCAGGAGAATGGCTTGAACACGGGAGGCGGAGGTTGCAGTGAGCCAAGATCACACCACTGCACTCCAGCCTGGGTGACAGAGCGAGACTCCATCTCAAAAATAAATAAATAAAAAATAAATAAAAATCCAACTTAACTGAAGATAATTTACATGCGAAACAACTACATCAGTGTTAAATTTTAACACAGTTAATTCTTGCTAATTCAATAAACAGAAGAACAGGACAAGTGACATCAAACTGAAAATAGGAACACCATTTCCTTGATTCTGAAATGAATTTATTACAGGGTTCTCAAGATTAGGTTTTTTCTTCACTTTAAAAAATGCAGTGTTTTAAACTATTAGGAGTGGCATGAACTCGTGCATACAACAAGGAGGAATACTAAATTCAGACACGAAGACTGGACCAGAAAAGATCAGGGACAAAACTTTTTGCAAGGTCTTTTCTCTCCAAAGAGAAAACCCTGGGACATGGCTCCAAAAGCATCGCAGGCTGATGTCTGCTGCATGCTTAGCTTCGAAGCAGCTTTACTTTTTAATTAATTATTAGTTTTTTAAAAGTTCTATTAAAAAAAAAATTTTTTTTTGAGATGGAGTTTCATTCTTGTTGTCCAGGCTGGAGTGCAATAGCATGATCTTGGCTCACCGCAACCTCCGCCCACCAGGTTCAAGCGATTCTCCTGCCTTAGCTTCCTGCATAGCTGGGATTACAGGCTTCGAAGCCACTTTTAGAGATAAGCATATATGGCATCTAAATATTTCACTACTGTAATAAGTTAAAAAATAAATGGAGTCAAAAGTAAATACAACACACCACCCAGCTTTGGAGTCTCCAGCGCCAGCAGAACCATGCAATGCCAGGATGGTGTCTACCCCACAGGTTCTAGGTCAGCCAAGAAGAACGTGGGACACCCAGGGGACCTGCCTGACAGGGGCTGCAAACTCTCACTGGCTATGGCTAGAGACACATGGAGGGCGAACCTCAGGGTCACAGGCAGAGGGAAGAGGGTGGTCGGAGAGCAGAGGAATGGGTGGCAAGGGGGACCCCTCAAGAGAAGCTGCCCATCCCGGCCTGAGGCCCACCCTAGAAGCACAGCCAACGGGGTCCACGCTCCAGCTCCCTTCTCCAGCTGAGACCCCTCTCAGCTGTTGCCCCTGGCCATCTTGGCCCACCTGGCAGCTCCTGGTCAAGCCCAGGAGCCTTTGCTATTTATCTGGCTTTCCTGATTTTCTGGCTCCCATGGGCCTGAATCTGGGGATACTTCCTGCCTGAACTCCCCACAAAGCCCCAAATAGCCACTGGCCTAAATCCTGGTCCCAGCCACCTGACCTGCTGGTGAATGTAGGGAGGGGACGGGCCACCAAACACCCTCAAGGTCTCAGCTGTCCTTCAGCAGGATCACCACTCACTAGTGTAAGAATGATCTGGGACTCCCGGGAAATTCAGATGCTTGGACCCCAGCCTACATCGGCATCAGCATCTCTGGGAAACTGCATTTAGACAAGCTCCCAGGTAAGTCTGCGGCAGGGGACCTGGCCAACACTGTAGCACAGGGGAGAAGATCCCGAGAGCCCTGCCATGAGAGGCGGGTACCTCTGGGGGGCCGGGCGAACTGGAAGACATGTACTCGGGTGCCAGTGCTTCCTGCATCAAACATGATCCCGTAGAAGACCTCGTGCCCGTCTGTAGCTGTCCCCTGGGGACTGTGGGCCTGCTGACCCCACCGGGTCCCCGGGGCTGCCCTGGTGATGCTGAAGAAGGCCTGGGTGGCGGTGGCCCGGTGCCACTTGATGTAGGCAACATAGATGAACAGGCCCACACACAGCCCCAGGGGGTATGCCACCTTCGCCACCCGCAGGCTCCTGTGGTTGGATATTTTTCTCATCCTTGTCTGCCAAGGACCGTGCTGCGGCTGCTGGTGGGAAGGGGGAGAGGCAGGAAGAGCACGTTAGGGTGCCAAGTTCCAAGGAGAGTCAGACGTCCCCAGGTCCAGGGACAAAATGTTCAACCTGAAACCGCTCCATGTTCCCCCCAGGAATCAGAAGCTTCATTTGATCCTCATAATGATTCCAGAAGGTGTGATCCCATTTCACAGAAGAGGAACTGAGGTTTATAAAGGCAGGACAGCCTGCTCAAGGTCACACACCTTGCAGGTGCTGACCTGGCGCACAGGCCACAGCTGCTGGCTCCTCTAAGGGAGGGTCCCACCAGCAGCTTGGGACACATGGCGATTTATGTAAAAAAAGCCACATGTAAATGGTGTTCCCAAACTGTTCATGGGAACAGAAGCACATATCTGATTCAGTCTTTCAATCCTCAGTTATACTTCTATTCAGGCAATTTACTTTTCGAAAGGTTTAAACTCCAGCCCTTGGGCAACTACTGAGAGCCCCAGACAAACCTGAAAAATGTAGCTTGTTTTTCTGGAAGTTTCATAACGAATACCTTTTTTCGTTCACATAGCCCATTTATGCCAAGGAGATAATATTGTCTGTGTACTTCCAAAGCCTACAAAAATTCTACTAAAGTAGCAAAAAATTCATTGGGTACCATTATTTTTGGATCAATACACCCAAAATGAAAGCATTTGTTCAAGTTTCATGGGCTGCTCCAGTGTGAGGCAGCATGTAGGAACCTGAGGCTTCAAAGGACAAGAAGCGTGGGCCAACTCTAGGGCCGCCAACCCTGGGGAACATCCATCAGCCTGTCCCCCGCTCACTCTCTCAGGCGGTCCTGGTGAGTGGCCACTCCGAGGGGAGCAGGGGTCAGGAGGGTGCCGGGCTGGAAGGGGTACCGGTTCTGCCTGCAGCCACGTATGACAGTGGGCAAGATGCCCCTCAAGGGGGCCAGCCTCATCTGTAAGGTGGGGCTGCTCATGGGAGAGCCCCTCGTGACTTTGGGGATTCAGTGTGCTCAGAACAGGTTGTAGAGAAAGCATGTGCCACGTGCGGGCTTTACAGAAGGGCAGCAGGAGGTGGCATCTCTGTGGAGCCAAGGACAGCATGGCTGTGCTGCTGAGGAGGGGGCAGTGGCAGTCCAAGGGGCAAGTCAGCAGCGACCTGCACTACCTGAGGCTGTTTGGGCACAGCAGAATGGAAGGACAGGGCCTGTGGGGCAGAGCACAGGGAGCAGGCCCTTCCTGGCCCTTCCTTACTGAGGTCCCACCTGTGGCCACAGCTGGTTATCCTCAGGCCCAGAGAGGCAAGACAAGCACTGCCACAGTGCCCCGTGCCGAGGGAAGAAGCCTCACCAGTGGCCTGGCTACCCACACTGGGGCAGGAGACAGGAAAACCACCCTTCCTTGAGCATGTGCCATGGGCAGGGCTGCAAAAAGGCTCTCCTGGCAGATGCCAAGGTGCAGCCCCTCCCCAGCCCTATGTTGGGCCTGGGTCCCACCACACTCAGGAGCTTCCTACAGCTCTCAGGATCATGTTGCAGCCTCTGCCTGGGCCTGTTCCTGCCGGCCCCTGCTGCTTCATCGCACTCTTCTGTCCTTGCCCACAGTGCTCTGAGAACAGTGCCGCCTTCTGCCCCTAGAACTCAGCCTCTCCCTGCCTCAGGCCCCTGGCACAGACTGATACCCATTCCCAGAATACTGGTCCACCACCGTGGCACCGTGTTTTCATTCTGAAACCTCCACTGAAATGTCACTGCCACCCCCTTCCTGGATGCCCCCAACCTCCACATGCCCCATCACATACTCTCTGAGTTCCCTTTACCCACCACCAGCTGTGATGAAACCAGTATTAATAGACCTGGTTCCTGTAGGTCTGTGTCTCCCGTCTAGGCCATGAGCCCCCAGGGCAGAGACTCAGTTTGTCTTGTGCTGCTGCTGCCCAGCATGGTATCCAAGCCCTTCTTTAGAATGGAAGAGGCTGCTCCTCCACCCCTGCACCTTCTATAATGTCACCAGACACACAACAGAATCCTGTAGAAAATCCATTAACAGGGAGAGGACACAGCAAGATGGTAAAAGAAGAAGCTCAAAGGCCCTCGTTCCCCCACAGAGAAACATTAAAACAACAAGAGACTGGTTAAAATATTGCATAGGAGCTCTGCAAAACAGGCAACGATCTACAGCAACCAAGAGAATGCCCAGCCCAGAAGCAGCCACATTCAGGATGTCAGGAACTCTGCAGTGCTTCACTCACTCCTGCCCCACGCCTCCCCAGCACGGCGCCGCCTGATGAAAGCAGCAGCCCGGTTCCCAATTCCTTCCCTTGAACTGGAGGCAGCGGAGTGGACCTTTCTGCAACATCCTAATCTGCCTTGGGCTGCCTGAGGAACAGATCTCTGCTTCACCTGACTCTGAGCTCAGAGCTCAGATAGGAAGTCAGGGAAATGGTTGTGGGCACTGCTAGGCAAAGCTGTAGGGTGACTACAAACCCACGCATACCTGGGGCAAGAATGACAGGTGAGAAATACAGTAGAACATCTCAAGCCCAAGGAGGGACTGGGGGAGACTTTGGGAAAGTAAGATATATATGTACTTAAAGCTTTGTAAAAGTTTAATGGAGCCAACAAGGCAAATAAATTGTGTTCTGGCAGACATTAAGACCTGTTTTCTCTTACCAAAAAAAAAAAAAAAGGGGGCACACATTTTATAAAAATTTGACAATTCAGAGTTAAGGGTACTGAGATTAAGCTTCAGAGCACCAACTTAAACAAAACAGCAATGAAAAATTGGTTATTCAACTTGGAAAGAGGAACTAAAACCAAGCCATAAAGGGGAGATTAAATATGTGTTCCTTGATCTCAAAGTCCTTTTAGGAACAGGAGTTCCGGGCACATGTGAGCAACACATCACACCACCAAACCCCAATTCAGGAATCTAAATTTACAACGATAGAAAAACAAAGGTAACTCCAGGCCGGGCGTGGTGGCTCACGCCTGTAATCCCAGCACTTTGGGAGGCCGAGGCAGGCAGATCACGAGGTCAGGAGATCGAGATTATCTTGGCTAACACGGTGACACCCTGTCTCTACTAAAAAATACAAAAAACTAGCTGGGCGTGGTGGTGGGCGCCTGTAGTCCTGGCTACTCAGAAGGCTGATGCAGGAGAATGGTGTGAACCCGGGAGGCGGAGCTTGCAGTGAGCCAAGATTAAGCCACTGCACTCCAGCCTGCGCCACAGAGCGAGACTCCGCCTCAAAAAAAAACAAAAAACAAAAAAAACAAAAAAAAACAAAAGAAAAACAAAGGTAACTCCAAATACATTTCTTGGTATATTCCAAAGGGAAGCTTGAAGATATTTTTAAATAGTCAAGAATATGGGGAAATTGAAAAAAAACATATACACAGGCCCAGGGAAGATGCATCCTCAGAAGAAACCTGAGGAGACTTCAGCCTTCATCCTGAGCTGATCCGTAGGCTTAGACAGATCCTGCTATTTGGTGGGGGCCATTCCCAAAACACAGTTAGTCTGCAAAGACTGGGACATGGAGCTGTTTTTCAAATGCCCAAAGTTTAGCAAAAAACTCACAAGGCATACAAATGGGAAAACACAGCTCACTCAGAGGAAGAAAATGAAGCGGCAGAATCCATCCCTGAAGAAATGCAGGCACTGGATGCACTTGACCAAGACTTAAAAATGACTATCTTAAATATGCCTTTTAAAAGAGCTGAAGGAAAACAGATAAAGAATGAAAATAAACCAAGAAAACAACGACGACAACAAAATGAGAAATTATAAAAAGGAATCAAACAGAAATTGTGGAGCTGAAAAATACAAAACTGAACTGAAAACTCTGACCAGAGGAATTTGGGTCAGCACAGGAATCAGCAAACTTGAACACAGCACATTTGAATATATCAAGTCAGAGGAGCAAAAAGAATGAGGAAAGTGAGCAGAGCCTCAGGGACTTAGGGGCCTCCCTCACATGCACCATGCACATTATAGAAGTCTAAGAAGGAGAACAGAGAATGGGGCAGAGAAATTATGTGAAGAAAGAATAGCTAAAAACCTCCCAAATTTGACTAAAGACATGAATATAAACATCCAAGAAGCTCAGTAAACTCCACGTAAGATAAACCCAAAGAGACCCACACTAAGACACAATGTAATCAAACTGTGTAAAGACAAAGGCAGAATATTGAAAGCAGCAGAAGAATGGCTCATAATGTACAAGGAATCCTCAATAACACTGTTAGCCAATGTCTTAGCAGAAACCTCAGAGGCCAAAGGCAGTGGGATGATACACCCAAACTGCTAAAAGAAAAAAAAAAAAAATCCGTCAATGGAGAGTTCTATATTCAGCAAAACTGTCCTTCACAAATGAGGGAGAAATTAAGACACTTCCAGATTAATAAAAGATGTGGGTGTTCACTGCCACTAGATCTGCCCTACAAGACTGCTAAAGGGAGTCCTGGAAGTTAAAACAAAAGGGCACTAGACAGCAGCTAAAAGCTGTAAGAAAACCACTAGATCTGCCCTACAAGACTGCTAAAGGAGTCCTGAAGTTAAAATGTGGTAGATTTAGACAGCAGCTAAAAGCTGTAAGAAAATACAAACATCTCCAGCAAAGGCAAACGGAGGGACAAATTTAGAAACTAGTATTAGTGTACAATTGGTCTGCAACACTACTTAATATTTTCTTCAGGATTTAAAAGATATATGCATAAAAATAATTACAGGTTTATGCTAATGGTACATACCCAATACATACAGACATAATCTGTGACATCAATAACAAAGTGGGAGTAGATGGAATTGTAAAGGAGAGGTTACTGTGAACTGACTGAAATTAAATTGATATCAATTTAAAATAGATTGCTGTAACTTCAGGATGTTATGTATGCAATCCCTATGGTTGTAACCACGATGAAAATATCTGTAGTATATACAAAAAAGGAAATGAGAAGGGAATCAAAAACGGAACCTACAGATAATCAACTAAATACAAAAGAAGGTAGTAATGAAGGACAAAAAAGCTATAAAATATATACAAACAACAAAATATAAAAACAAGTCCTTTCCTATGAGTAATTACTTTAAATATAAATGGATTAACTCCTCAATCAAGAGACACAGATTGACAGAATAGATTAAAAAACAAGACCTGACTACAGCTGACCCTCAAACAACATGGGTTTGAACTGCACAGGTCTACTTATATCCAGATTTTCTTCCACTCCTGCCACCTCTGAGACAGCAAGATCAACCTTTCCTCTTTCACCTGCTCCTTAGCTTACCTGACATGAAGACAATGAAGATGAAGACCTTTATGATAATATACTTCCACTTACTAAATAGCAAATACATTTTCTCTTTCTTATGATTTCTTATTATAATAACATTTTCTGTTCACTAGCGCTTACCCTCATAGTAATAATACAGATTATAATTCATATAACATACAAACTATGTGTTAATCAACTCTTTATGTTATCAGTAAGGCTTCTTCAACAGTAGGCTACCAGTTTGGGAGGATGCAGGAGGTTTTTTTTGAGCCCAGGAGTTTGAGACCAGCCTGGGCAGCATAGGGAGAACCTGTCTCTACAAAAATCAAAATTAGCTGGACATGGTGGTGTGCGCCTATAGTCCCAGGCTTCTTGGGGAGGCTGAGCTGGGAGAATCACTTGAGCCCCAGAGCTCAAGGCTGCAGCAAGCCATGATTGCACCACTGCATTCTAGACTGAAGTTACACTTGGATTTTCAACTGCAGGTGAGGGGTTATATCCTCAACTCCATATTGTTCAAGGGTCAGCTGTGTATTCTATCTACAAGAAACTCGCTTTAGATCTAAGAGCACATATACAAAGTAAAGAATGGAAAAGAGTCAACGCTATAGTGACCAAAGGAGAGCAGGGGTTGCTATACCAATACTGTAGACAAAAGAGACTTTAAGTCAAAACTGTCACAAGAGACAGAGAAGTATATTATATCATGATAAAATAGTCAATTCACCGAATATAAATGATTGTTAACATATGCAACAAACATCAAAACCCCTAAATACATAAACCAGACACTGATAAAATTGAAGAGAAATAGACAACTATCAATAATAGTAATATTATTATACTAGGAGACTGAAATGTCTCACTTTGAATAATAGACAGAAAAATGAGACAGAAGATCAACAAAGAAACAGAGGACTCAAACGACACTACAGAGCAGAGGTAACAGAACAATTCTACACGCAATGCCAGATGGTGGGCTACAAACATGCCTTAATGCATTTTAAATAACTAAACTTATGATGAAAGTACTTTTTCCTTAGCCCAAGCAGTGTAAGTATTAAATTTTACAGAAATCAACAGCAGAAGGAAAACTGATAATTCACAATTATGTGGAAATTCAACAGAGCACAACCTTAAACAACCAAAGAGTCAAAGAAGAAGTCATAACGAAAATTAGAAAATACCTTGAGATAAGTGAAAACAAAAACACAACCTTCCAAAACTTACAGGATGCAGGAAAAACAGTGCCACATTAGGGAAATGTACAGCTGTAAACACTTGCTTTAGAAGAGAAGAAAGGGCTCAAACAAACAATCTAACTGTACAATAATCTTTTAAATAACTACTAAAAGAACAAACTAAACATAAAGCTAGAAAAAGGAGGAGGAAAAAGGAGAGAAAAAGTAAAATTGAGAGCAAAATAATAAAAGATTAGAGAGGATAGAGAAGGAAAAATAGAGAAAATAAATGAAACTAAAATTTGTTCTTCAAAAGTCAACATAACTGTCAAACCTTTTAGCTAGACTGACTAGGGAATAAAGAAAGAAGACTCAAATAGCTGTAATCTGAAATGAAAGGGGGTACATTACTACTCATTTTGCTTATGGAATAAAAATGATTATAAGAGAGTACTATGAACAACTGTATGCCCAAACTGATAACCTAGATGAAATGGACAAATTCCTGAACAAAAAAATCCACCAAGATAAATAATAAAGAATTTGGCAACGATTTCTTAGATATGACACCAAAAGCACAGGCAATGGAAGCAAAAATAAACCAGTGGAATTACATTAACTAAATGGCTTCTACCCAGCAAAAGAAACAATCAACAAAATGAAAACACAACCTACAGAACAGGAGAAAATAGATAAACAGTACGTCTGCTCTGAAAAGGATTAATAATCAGAATATATAAAGAACTCTTAAAAGTCAACCACAAAATCTGATTAAAAATAGCAGATAAAGCATACAAAAGAGGCTCAACATCATGAGTCATTAGCAAATGCAAAACTGCAATGACCCATCACATCATATATTAGGATGGCCACTATCAAACAAACAGAAAATAACAAATACTAGTGAAGATGTAGAGAAACGGGAACCCCTGTGCGCTGGGTTGGTGGGAAAGTCAGATGCAGCTGCCTTGGAAAACAGCATGGAGCTTCCTCCGAAAATCAAAGCCAGAACTACCATATGGTTCAAAATCCATAAAAGAGTTGAAAGCAGGATCTTAAAGAGCTACACACTTACATTCACTGAAGCATTATTCACAACAGACAAGACAGAATAGTCCAAACATCCATTGACAGATGGATACACAAAATTCAGTTTAGAACTGAATGGAATTTTGAATGAAATATTATTCAGTTTTAGTAGTTAACAGCACCTCTGACACATGCTACAACATGGACGAGCCTTAAAGGCATTTCACTAAGTGAAATAAGCCAGTCACAAAAAGACAAATAGTGTAGGATTCCACTTACATGAGTTACCTAGAGCTGTCAAATCATACAGACAGAGGGTAGAAGGGCAGGTGCTGAGGGCAGGGGGGTGAGGAGGACTTACTGGGTAAAGAGTTTCAGTTAGGGAACATGAAAAGGTTCTGGAGACGGATGGTGATGGTGGTTGTGAATGCACTTAATGCCACAGAACTTAGTTGTACATTTAGAAAGGGTTATGCTGGTAACTTTTGTGTTATGTCTATTTTATTTTAAAATCCTTCAATGGCTAGGCCAGGCAGGTAACAGAAATAAGTTCTGTTGCTATAGGACTTAAGGAACTCTGTGGGGTGAGGGATGGGGATAAAGAGAGCAGGGCCCACCCACTGTGTCAAATACAAAACGTTTTACAGTTCTGATCACACTCACGCCCTACTCTCTCAACGAAGGAGACAGATCATGCCTTACTAAGATTCTTCCTGCTGAAATGTGCTGGCGGAGCTCCTCCCTTGGGCTCCTGGCTGCTCTGCCATTTCCATAGCACATGACATGTGCAGTTCTTCTTCCAGGCCCCTCTCGCTCTGGTTAGATGGCGCCTACTCCAGGAGTAGGGACCAGCCCCCATCCCAGAACCTCCAACACCCAACACAAAACCAGAGCCCAGCAGCTGCTCAGCCAGCACCTGTTGAAGGGGATCCGCTGATGGCTCAGCAGTGTACTGAGGGGGAGAATGGGCAGTAGGAGGAAGATGCAGGCATCACAGATGCCACAGGACTGGGTGATGGCCATGAGCTGAAACAGGTCATCTGGGAACGGACCATTTGGCAGGAGGCAGCAGTGATCAGGTTTTCAACATGCTGAGTTTGATATGCCAGCGGGACATCAGTGGGAAACAGGACAGGCCTTATGAGAGGTGACAGGTTTGGGGCTGGTCCAGAAATAGGATGGACTCTATGAGAGGTGACAGGCTTGGGGCTGGGAAAGATGCACATTAAGGCAACATTAGCTGAGATTGGGAGAAGAGACATGGCACTAGGAATGTCCATTTCAAGGTAGCGCCTCTCATACCACAACAGTCTCCCTTCCTTAGTGGACTATAACCCAAAGTTTCAGGTTTCTAAGTAATCATCAAATGTTTAATTAAATTACAGCATTTATAGAGAAAGTTCTGAAACAGTCCAGGGATGAATAGTGAGGACAAAAAGCAATAGTAACACCCTACAACTGTGAATATGTTTAATAAAATCCTTTTTATGTAATCAAGTTTTTTTTTTTTTTTTTTTTTTGAGACAGAGTCTCACTCTCTCACCTAGGCTGGAGTGAAGTGGCACAATCTTGGCTTACCGCAACCTCCGCCTCCCAGGTTCAAGCAATTCTCCTGCCTCAGCCTCCCAAGTACCTGGGATTACAGGCACACGCCACCACACCTGGCTAATTTTTGTATTTTTAGTACAGACGGTGTTTCACCATGTTGGCCAGGCTGCTCTCAAACTCCTGACCTCAAATGATCTGCCCACCTCGGCCTCCCAAAGTGCTGGAATTACAGGTGTGAGACACCGCACCTGGCCCATAATCAAGTCTTATCATGTCCTTTGTTAGTCTGCCATAATCAAATCTTATCATGTCCTTTGTTAGTCTAAGAACCATATTCTACATGATCAGATTCACAGGTGGTATATTAAATCTAGAGGCAAAGTTGCTACTTATTTATTGTCTACCCATTTAAAATAACCCTTTATGTGCCATGTCCCGTGTCCAGTGCCCCACAAAGCCCACCTCACAGCCCTGGGTTTCCCTAAGACAGCACCAAGGCCCTGGGAATGTGTGTAAACGGACCTGTCTGAGATTGCAGTCAGTGTGTGGTGGAGCACACAAGAGTCCCCAGCTTCAGTCCCCAAATTGAACGTGCTTTATCACTTCACCTTCCCTGTAAGTACAAGACTACTTTAGATATCCAAAAAACACTCACATACATAGACATACCTTACATAGACATAATTACTGAAGTTACACACCAAGTTCAGGAAGACAAAAACAAGAGTCCAACTAGAACACAGTACTGAGAGAGCATAGAACCAGGAACAGCCTTGATCATGCACAGGGGTGGGAAGAAGAGTTCTTACAATCATGTTCACCATACCCTCTCCCCAAGGAACAGGTCACCTCCATATCCCTGTGGCCCAGATCTTAACACCAATGTCATTCCACTAGATTAAAGTGTTGCCCATGGCTGAGACACCTGCAGGAGGGGCAATGGGGTTTCTGTGGGAACCACTAACACCACAGCGTGAATTTGTTGATCATGTTCTCCCTGACAGACTCACTGAGGAAAACAATGTCATCTCAGTCTGTTCTTTAAAGGAGAGAGAGGGTGGGATGAGGCTGTAAGGAAGGTAGCAGGTGGGGACCAAGGGGAGGCAAGGATAGGAAGTAGGGTGCACACAGGCAAACAGAGAGGTGTGGCTCCTGCCGAGGCCACCCTCCAGGCAGGAGTCAGAGAGGAGAATCTGAGGGTGGAGCAGTGTTGTCGGTGGTAGGAGCTGCCCTGTCCCCTGGTTGGCTTTCTAGATGATGGGGATGGCAAGCCACCTCTTGGAAGTACAGGCGCCATCTGATGTGGATTGATGGCTGCCTAATCTGTTGGCCAGTTTCTTCAGGTTTTCAGTTCCAGTACACGGAAGGGCCACGAATGCAAATGCCTGCCATGCACGCTGTATCCAAAAATAAAGCACATTAGAAACTTCCACTCATCCTCCTGGTAGGTTTCAATAGGTTTTTCTCTCCTTGGCAAAAACCGGTGCATGAAAGGCCCATCAACACCACCTGCTGTTTCCTTTACACAGGAGGCGGTGGGAGGGGAGGCGCTTCCAGATCTCCTGACACAAAGGGCTGCCCATCTCCCTGGTCCTTTTCCCGAAGCTTCAGGAGGCAGACACACACGCTAGCCAGTCACTCTCTCCAGGCCAAGGAGAGGGAGACAAAAAGCAGTTTCGAGATTGGTACCATGCTTGCCAGGTCCTTCAAAAATGACTACCTGCCGCCCATGGCTGTTGCACAGCGGGCGGGAGGAATAGTCCTTGTAATCCACCTCTCCCAAGGAAGATTCCCCGCCTGCAGGCTATGGCTGAATTCCCCGCATCCTGTGTGACGTGGGCGTATGGCTTCGCGCAGGTAAGATTAGAATACAGGTGCCTGGAGGGACACCCTGAGCTGCCCAGGCACTTCCCGGTGGCTGGTTCCTTTGCACTTATAATGAAAACACCCTCCCTTCCACGCTCCCGTGGGCCCTCCCATCTCTCCTTCCTCTTCCACGCTCTCCTGGCTGTTGAATGTTTTCCACTGAAGGAGTCTAGTCTGTCCACATCAGGGGCTCTCCCTCCCTCGGTCCAGGCATCCGCGGCTCCCAGGTCAGCTCGGGCAGAACCGCCCTGACCACCTATGAGCTCCTCGGGACATCACCCCAATGCCGGGGTGAATCGTCCTTACACCCTCAGTCCTGTCCGAGCGGCCTGATC